AAGCAATGAATCTACAAACACTTGAAATGTTTTAAAGAAAATGTATACCTTCTCAGCAAATTTGTATGGGAAGAAAATGAGATAAGTGAAAGAGACTTAGAATCTTACTTTAGATATAATTATACAATTCCATGGGATTTGTTTTCCCATTGATTGCTCTCCTAACATCCCCTTTCGTAGTGCACTCACAAGAAGCAAGTGGAAGAGGTATCCAATGAGATAAAACAGGAACTCGAGGTCCCTGGCGATGTGCTCACATGGAACCACCTCCCTGCTGCTCCACGTTTACAGAATTTTATTTGCATAGAAGAACTGCAGGAGCTCTGGATGATAGTGGCTCTGAAAGAAATTAGCAGAGGTACATGTGAGGGAGGGACTCAGTGAACCCCGTTGACTATATAACCAGTAGTCCATTACCAATGCAGGTCATGAAGACAAGCAATTGGGAGAGGTGGTGGCCTTATCACCTGCCTTCCACTTATGACCAGAACTGGGCCTGCCAGTATATTTTGTGCACAATCCTCTGGGTGTTTTGCCATTTACCTTATATGATGGGCCAGTTATAATTGGCCTGACCCGTTTTATGGGGGGTAACTCCCTGGTGTGCTTGGCTGCCTTCTGTGTTAACCACCAGGAGGGCAGAGACCCTGAGAGAATTCTCTCTCCTGCCCTGGCTCACTCACCAGCTGCCGGCAGAGTTTAGGGTTCCTTTGATCATCTTCACTCTGGAAGCTGTATTCCTTCCTTAGTTTCAGATATGGAGAACAGGCTCGAAAAGTTGCTTTGCAAGCCTGAGGAAAAGAATATTATCATCTTATTGTCCAAAATATTAGAGAGTTCTAAAACCCCAAGCAAGGAAGACTGTCCCAGAGGACTGCACCCATCTGTGGTCAGGGAGCCACTAAGAGTGTGAACATAACTTCCAGGGAGTTTGAAAATTTGAATCTTAAAGGATGAGTACTTATAAAATGGCCTTATAATTTGGGGGCCGGTGGGAAGGGCATAGCTTCACAGCTGATCATAGGCCTTGCTATCCTCCCATCAAAAATAGTACTGGATTCCTAAATTTAATCTCTCTTTCTCTCTCTCTCACTTAAAGAAGACAAGTGGTTTTGGTAGAACCCTTTGCTCCCAGTGGTTTTGAAACATTCACCCAGTCCCACTCCAAGGCAGGCCTGAAATTGATCCAACCCTGTTAGGACACATTTTCTCCAAGAATAAAACAAAAGTTCCATAGGGAATTAAGAAGCCGGGGTGGGAAATCTATGCCAGCACAGTGACAAAAGCTAATTGGGCATGAATCAATATCCTCATTTTGTGGGCTGCTGCGCCCTCATTAAACCTGTGCCTCTCTGGACCCCGCCCATCACCCCAAGCTTATCTAGCATTGACAGACCCTGGGCTTGGCCAGGCGGGGCAGAAGCAAATGGAAAACAACACTCTTGCCCAGAGAGAGAGTACGCGGAGGAGGCGCCTTGTCCAGGACTCACATGGATACCCTGCTAAGCATCCATAGCTGAGCATCTCAACTCAACAGGGCTGCATCCCAACTCCTTTTACGCATAGCATGGAGATTTCACACAGGAGGTCGGAGGGTCACGGTCTTACCTTAGCAACCCGGGGGTTTCTATCGTGTAAATGGATCAGGAGGGACTCTCGTGTCTGCTTAACCTGGCTGGTGAAAAATTTCTTCCATTTCTGCCCAGCAAAGGTAGCCAATTGCCCAAACAAAACAAAGGCCGAGTATCTCAGACTGTCGTTTTCCTGCAGGTCCCCATCAAAAACACAACAACAAAGCCAGGTCATTCCCCAAAGGCAACTACATCAGAACACATCACAGCTGTGGTTCTTGGTGGTATATCGCAGGGTACGCCGTCAGATCTGGTCTAAAGCACCCAGCTGGGTGGGTGGGGGACAGAGTCGAGGGGGCCAGAGTCTTCAGTGAACCTCTTCTCTGGCAGACAAGAGGATTAGCCCAGGGATCACTAGTGCTGCTCCCAGCTTCCCAGCTGTTTCATTCATTGTTTCATGTTTTGGAGATAGAATACATTTATATGATTCAAAACTCAAAAAAAAAAGTTTTATAGAAAAAAGTAAGTCTCCTTCTACTGTTCTTCATCTGCCACCAAATTTTCCTTCCCACGAGCTAACAAAGTTTTAAGTTTTATATGT